GGATTTCGACGTGGTAGAGGAACCGCAGATATCTTAACGGCTCTCCAACATGAATGGGTTCACACCATTAGTACAGGCGGTTGTGTCCAGGTCCTCGCCGTGGATGTTGCCGGTGCGTTTGATCGGGTATCGCACACAGGAGTGCTGTACAAAGCAAAGCAGGCCGGCTTCGACGGACGACTGCTTGTATGGCTACAGGACTACCTCACCAACCGAAAGATCCGCGTTGTGGTTGGAGACCAGACGTCAGATGCTCAACCCATCCAGGCTGGTGTCCCCCAAGGCAGCATCCTAGGACCCAGCCTCTTTCTTTTATACACCTGTGACATTGAACAATGTTTAATTCCAGGAACGCAGTTGAGCAGCTTTGCAGACGACACCACACTCTACAGCTTAGTACAGCCAACTGACGATCTCGAACAGTCCACTGCCTCTCCAAGGGTCCCTCAACAGTCTCGAGGAGTGGGGCCGCAAGCGGCGTATCTGCTTTGAGCAAGCCAAGACACAGCGCATGACTCTACATCGCAAGCATGTTCCCCCTGCACTCCACCAGTCACCTTTGGAAGTGAAGCACTCCGGGAGACAGATACCCTGAAGCTGCTGGGAGTCATGCTCGACCCTACTGTCTCCTACAGAGCGCACACTCGCAGTGTTGTACTGCGCGCCTCCCAAAGGCTGGGTTTCCTACGAAAGGCAGCACCCATCCTGGACGACCATGCTCGAGTGGCAGTCTACAAGGGATTCGTGCGACCCCTACTTGAATATGCCTCACTGGCCTGGTCGAGCGCAGCCGCAACTAACATGGCCCAGCTGGACAAGGTTCAGCAACATGCCCTGCATTTCCTGGGACCTGGAACCATCCTCCAAAGTCTTCAGCTTCGCCGGATGGTGGCAGTCCTGTCATACTTGTACAAGCTGCACTACATTCCAGGGCCTCCCCAGGTGAAGGCCATGCTGCCACCAACCAAGCCCCCTGCCGTAGCTAGCATGTGCACACGGCAAAAACTTCAGACGCACCATGGCTTCCAGCTGAAATGGACACCCCCTCGCACTGCCCCTGACTACCTCCTGCGATCCTTCCCCTTTTTCGCCATCACACCCTGGAACAACCTGCCTGCGGACCTCCTGCTTCACGAACCTCATTCAAGACGCCTCCAAACCTTTAAGGTCAACGTATGTAAGGATCGAATCCGAAAGAGATGGCTGTGGTCCACACAGTACCTGTGACGATGATATTGAGACCCATTTAGTATGCACGTGACTCCAGCTCACATCAGCTACGGTAAGGGTTGCTTTGCTTTCCAGGGTGCTCAGTTACCAACTACTTATGGAACACCCTACACTAGGCTACAGACATGCAGTACCTTATGCACACGGTGACTCAACTGTATAGACCATGATAGACAGTTCTGTATGAACAAAATAAGAAGGGTCTAATGGAGTCACGGACCCTGAACGTGCAGTTCTTCAACACCAGACAGACCTGTAGCCAGTATGATCCGTGTCATTGCTCAGCTCTACCTGTTCAAAACACGCATCATACATTACATACAGTACACAGGTATCACGTGACTATACTCTAGTATCACACTGCATGTGTTTGTCATATCAGACCAGATTACTATGTTCAATAACAGTACACCTAGTGACGTCATGGTGGCTGTCTACATTACGTTTCTCACTTCATTCTTTGTAACTTGCTTCATCTTTGCCTGATGTTGTATATCAGCTAATAGTGTTTTACTAAACAATACAAAGGTCAACTACGACTGCTAATTTACCACTCCTCTAATATAATCATTTTGTTCGAACCTCGAATTACTTAGACTAAGGAAGACAGGATTCTACGTCCACTTCACCAGGACTATCCTTACGCTCTGTGGCCGACCACGGTCACTCCCCACAACACCAACAAGAGGTTCCTTGGGAAGACAAGGACCAAAAAAAGATCACTGGTGCGTTATTGCCAGTTTTCTGTAAGGTCAGAACGTGCGACATTTGGCACAACACAAATGTAGATAATTATACACAAGCTACTGTCCCTGAGCAGGTATTATTTTATTATTATTTATTTATTTCTGCACCTCGTAGCATGTGAAGACAGGGAATTGAATTGAGGAGAGGGTGAGACCAAGGGCCACGGAAGAAGAGAGTTAACCCACACACATACAGTGTACATGTAGTACCCAATATACATAATGACATTGTACACAACACAAGGCAGAACGACAGAGACCAAAAAACTATCTCGTACGTGTAACTCCATGTGCATGTATACATACATGTACATTTCAGTGTGCAAGTAAAACACTCTACTACTGTACATGTAGTACGATAGTGCAAAGCTAGCAGCAGCTGTATTCCTACTTATCAACACAGTGTAGTACAGAGGATGCAGCTACTACAGTAGCTATTTTCCTGCCATGTACGGTTTCTTACACTTTATAGACTATTGAGATGTTTCATGGTTTCACTCGATTTTGCTATAAATAATTGTTGTCTAGACTTCATTGTGTGAGGTTTGTACCATGACGTAGGGGTGTGCGGATAATGCTCGAAAAGGTGGCAGATTCTGCTCGAAAAGTAGTGAAATTGTCAGAACCATACAAACCGTATGGCGGGCAATTCCTCGAATTCTGCTCCATTTCTTTATCCACATACCAAACATGCATGAAACTTACCAGAAAAAGTACTGAATTCTGCCAATTTTTTTGCCGTTCTAATAATTATTTAAAAAAACTTGAAGAGGTATAGTAACTGTTGATGTTTGGTCATGATGGAAGGAGAGGTGGAGCTACGGGAGAGATGACCTGATTATTCGCAGGGTGAGGGTGACATCGGTCATCGGTTGGACGAGTATGGCGATCACAAAGACAGTTGCACATGATATTTTTCAAAGGTAACTCAAACTAATTTGACAAGAAAAAATCTTTTGAAAAGAAGTCAACCCATGAATACTGAGAAAAAGTAATGTTTTCTCTTTTCCATGTTGATCTCTAGCATGCAGGGACACCTTGGTATGGGGATACTCCTGTAACATTTTGTTGTACTTATGGCCAATTGCAAGTACAATTTTCCGAACTTTGAGGCTCCATAAGTACAACAAAGTGAATACCGTATTATCTCTAATATAAGCACAGTCTCCAATAATAGCACGTCTCCAATAATAGAACACCTTGGGGCGGCATTCGAAAAATAAAGTGCTCAGTCTCCATTATAAGCACACTGCGTAAATTCATTATCTGTGTCGGCGAAAAAAAACCCTGAAATGTGTGTGTCATACATGAATTTGGCATGGCAACATGCCTCTGAAATGAGGTTGAAATAATAATGGAACAGTCTCCAATAAAGGAACGTCTCGCACGGGGCGGAGGTACATTGAAAAAATAAAGGACCGTGCTTATATTAGAGATAATACGGTATGTATCCGCGCGTGCGAAAGCATAATATTATGAGGATTTTGCGAGCATAATGCGAGAATCCATGATAGCATAATTCCATGATTTCGCGAGCATAATCCGCCCGAGCCTAGGACTCAGGCAGGGCAGGAGCGAACATGCTCCTTGAGCCACGCAGGCACATGGCACCACAACGCACCTGCAGGGCAAACTCAAGGCGACAGCGCAGCAAGGAGATAACCTGCGCGTATGACTCCTACTACACAGTGTAGTAGACATACAGTTCATGTCAGGTGTTCGGATAGGGGAAATCCCCTCTACTGCCTGTACAAGTCGAGAACAGTTGACGGACGCAGTTGCGCAAGGAGGGGGCTAATCTTCTCGCAGAAAAGGGGGAAAAGGGGAGAAAAAGGGGGAAAAAGAGGGGGAAAAGAAGAGCGGGAAATTGAAAAAGAGGGGGTAAAGAATGGCGGGAAAAGGAAAAAGAGGGGGAAAAGGATGGCGGGAAGCATCCACCTTTTGAATGTGCATACATCTAAAGTGAGGCTTTTTCCAGGCTCTGCACAAGTACACGTCCACCACGGCCTCTCGCAGCCTCCTCCTCTTCCTCTCCCCCCCCCCCCCATCACACACAATGTGCCGATTATCCTAATATCAACTATCCAAATGATTAATTATCCAAAATAATTGCTTGCATTTAATTGAGGGGTCGATTTAATTGAGGGGTAGAAGATGAGTTTCAAGTTGTTGATTTTCGTCGCTCAGAGCACCATTGAAGCGATTCACAAGATGATGATTGTATTACAACAGGTTTGAGTCAAAATGTGTAATAATAGTGTCATTAATTTAGAGGAGCTTGAGTGCACCTAGTTCCTATTGCACTGCTGAAGAGAATGAAAATGATGAAAACATGCTGGAATATGCATGATTTGGATTGATGTGTGACTACTCTCTTATCCGAACATTCTTCTCATCTGAACCCTCTGGAGACAGCCCGCGTCCCGAGGGGTGGGGATAATCGGCACTCTCCTGTACATCTAATTCTATTCTTAAATTATATACATATTGTTGCTGCCGGGAATGAGAAAACACATCCCAGGTAAGGATACGCCCCTCAAGGAAACACAGCTGGTGGATTCCAACAGTCAGGGGCGTCGCACACGGTACGGTCACTACAGTATTGACCGTACCACTCTTTGCCCCAGATACCCGTGAATCAACAAAATACACTGATCTGGGATCTAAAATTCCAAAATTTTCGGCTCAGCCACCACTCCCCCACGAGTCAATTGTACTTCAGATGGCTGACCGTACCACACTAAAATACCTTCCGACGCCCCTGACAGTGGTATGAAACTCATACACAATCAATTAGAAAATAAACCTTTGTTGGTGAAACAAAGTTGGGCGAGAGTATGATGTTCAAGTAAAACAATACTAAAGTGCCGTAACGTGAAGAAAGGAACGTAGCGCACAAGTTAATGAAGATAAATTCACATACAGAACACAATATGCCCAGATGTGGAAATTAAAGTCAAGATGAGCAGAATATACGCATATGCAAACACATACACACACAAGCGTGTGCACACAAACGCGCACACACACACACATACGCGCGCACACACACACACACACACACACACACACACACACACACACACACACACACACTGTTGGCTGCTATAATGCGATGGCCTAGACAGAGGAAACAAAGTTTACACAAACAAATTCCTACTCTTTCTCTTTCTTTGTCTTCTTCTTCTTCTTCCTCATATTCGATTCAAGGCAGGCTCTTCTATTTTTTTTGCTTCGGCCAATCTCGTTTTGGGATCTGACCCACTTTATTGGGGCAGTACAGGTACAGTCGTCCCTCTCTAATCCGGCACTTTATAATCCAGCACCCTCGATAAACCGGCACAATTTTCAGTAGCCAAATGTCCTCTTCATGCACATTGCAGCAGTAGATCAGATTTGTTAATCCAGCACCCTCCCTAATCCAGCAGATTTTCGTGGCACAAATGGTGCCGGATTATAGAGGGACCACTGTACCCTGAACCTGAGAGTGTCCTTCTGATGTCATCGCTCTCCTACATTTTCTGCACGTCTATATTATTCTTTCTACGAGGACAGCAGAAGGACAGGAACAAAGACATCCACACCATTTTTAAGACTGCATCTTCCAAAGAACACATCGAAAAGCAAATTCTATACGCCAAGCATCAGTTCACGCCGTAACAAATCTCCACGCTATGAAAAATTCGATCGAATGCCTGGTGGGAGATGCTTTTTAAAAGGCTTGCATACATTTTCACAAAAGACATTGTTGTGGCTGCCACCGGATTCGTACAAGAATATGTCAACTTCTAATCAAGGACTGTAATAAGTTCTGCCTTAAATATTAAAGGGGAAGTCTGCTGAATTTTTTTAATTTCAGGACCCGTAGATTTGGGGCGCTGAGTTGAATGTTCTTTTCCAAGGAGGCTGCGGTCCATGGTTCGTCAGATACGCCAAATCGAACATGAGCGAACGCGAGCACGCAGTCTACCTGATCCAGGTGATAAGGTCACAGTGTGCAGCCAGGTAGCCACACCATCTATTTGTGTGCAAAATGGCCAATATTCGAAACGCGTTCGATTTGAGAACCATCTGTTGCAGCTTCTCCGGACCAAGAGCATTCGACTCACTGTTACAAGCCCTACGTACCCTGTGATTTTCAGCTCGGCAAAATTTGAGGATATCCCGTTTTAGCCGTTTCCGATTTGGACTTTTTACATCCGCTGGCTTCTGCGTGCATGCCATAGTCAACAAACATACGGAACACTACACTACAGTACTGCCGGGCGCCGAAGAACGGGGTCAGGGTTCTAGCCTAGCCCGTTCTCATTTTTAGCGAACACAGCAGTTTCGTTCTTATTCGATGGTACAGTCTTACATGCACATTTATGCATCTGAGTGTACATCATATTCATATTGTACATTACGTTTCTACCTAGACCGTTCTTAAAAAATGGCGAAATTATAGCCTGGCCGTTCATCGGCGGTCCGTTCTTCGGCGCCCGGCGGTAGTAGTAGTACATGACTACACCCGCACTGCTGTGCTAGCGCTACGTGAGTCGTGTGGTAGATCTAAATGTACAAGAGACTAGTCAATACACGGACGTGTCATGTACTGCACCCGGTATGTAGTTAGAGAAGGTGTGCTCCTCCGGGCCGGTGATTGTGCTTTGAGAAAGAAATATTTTAGTTTTCCGCTTGGAATAGTCCAGCCTCATTTATGCTACAACGATGAGTCCACAACCGTGACAAGCGACAAAACCGCGAACGGCTCCCGGACCTAAAACGTTCAGATCCCGAAGTGTTGTGAGCCTTGAATCGAAGAGTCGTGTCCGTGGTTCCAAGAACCTGCATTGTATATCCAATCGAGCAGCGTCTGAGCTATGTTTGCACCAAAAATCGTGAAATTTTCCACTGTATCATGGAAATGCCACACCCTGCAGTCCCGCGGTTACCATATTTTACCGGTATAAGTCGACTTATTGAATTGAATTCAGTGCAAACAGGAATTTCGGATAATTGACCGTTTGGACAGTTGACATTCGGATAATCGGCATTCTACTGTAATCCTAGTGCATGCAATGAAACATACTTGACTGTTGGGGAGTCTTGCTGCGTCAGTGCAAACTGGCAGTTAATGCTAGAAGCTGCAGTAAACAACATCACATGTAGAAAATATAGAAAAGCAAATACAACTGAACTTTGATACAGTTGAACATCGATTATCCGCACATCGACTATCCGACCATTCGATTATCCGTAACAGTTTTTTTGGGCGCACGTGCCGTAGAGTACGCACTGTGCATGTAGTGAGCCATTCAAAAAATACGAAAATTTTGAAAAGTAGCACTCTATTCTATTTACAATGTACATGTACATGTATTTACAGTGTGTTTTCTTATCCGGAACATTTACCTTATCTGAACACCGCCTGACAGTTGTCTGCCCAGAGGTGGTCGGATAATCGATGTTCAACTGTACTGGAAATTACAGATCTGCTGCCCGCATCCACATGTCCATATTCTACATGTGCGATTGATCCTGCAAGATCTTCACTGCCCGTCTAATTGAGGATGGCACCCCGAATAGAACAGGCCGCTTCTAAACCAATCCAAGACCCAGGTTGTTATACTCCAGCAACCGGGCAAAGACCTGTCACCCATCCATGACCCATCAGCCCATCTCCTTATGCTCACATTTTGGTGTAGTAGTTGAGCACCTGTCCTTCCTTCATCAAGTGGATATCCTAAGCATGTGACTTACCGCTGGTATATCTCTGCACATCCATCTTGACTGGTTGTCAAGTCCCTTTCCGGAGAGGTAGAGTGGATGGTAGGGTCAGTGCAGTCCTGGCCACGCCATGAGAAAGAAGACATTTTCCCATCAGGAGAAGGCCAACATCCTCCCTCTGGGTAGTGCCTTGATACCTGCAGTGCAGTGCAGTAACATTAAACTGCAATTGAAACTGTCTCCATGCCATTGTTAAGCCCAGTTCACATTCGACGGGGCGCAACGGGACGCGACATAAGGATCGACGGGAAACGCCGGGACGGTCACCCCGTCACGGACTGTGCCTTATGACTCGCACCATTCGCTGTTGAACATCGCAAAGACTGGAGCATGTCGTGTCGTACGAATTGTACAAGATTTTACAGCTCACCCCAGCCGTCACAGGCCCTTACGTCCCGTACCGTCAGCGTTGCGTCGAAAGAGAACTAGGCTTTAGAAAGATTACGTGTTGGTATGTGCTCCTAATTACACACAAATATACAAAAGGTATATAAAGAGAAAGCATGATCCACCCCATCATTGACACCAACAGCCCGGCACAAGAGCAGCAGCACCTGCATTCTATTAACCCAAAGTTCATCTGCGAATATACTCACAGAGTCGTCTCCTTTACTGTGCCCGACCTTAGAAGAAAACAACACAGCAACGTAGTGTTGGTTTCGGTGAGGGCGTCTACGTTCACATGAACACACAGAAAAGCACAATATATTTCCAAACAGACGCCAACTAGTATAACCAAACAGCAACGACAACACCACAGAGACCTAACAGTCTCTTGAGCACAAAGTGTCTGGGATAAAAAAAAGAGCAGAAGTTCACCATCGACACTGGTATTATAAAACTTTCTACAACTGCTGCAGAGGCAGCAGCAGGGTTCTAGTGCCCGGACCCAAAGCTCATCTGAGAATTTTCGCCATTGAGACAAAGCAACGACCATGGTAGCAGCAGAGAGTAACAGCAGCAGCCGTTTGAGCAGCAGTATCAGCAGTCTCCAGCTTCAAGGGATTGACCTAGCAAATTTTACAGTAACATGAAAAGTGCAACTGCACTCTTTCCGGCACCAAATATGCCATGCTGTCCCCCGCTGCAAAATAGAGGACAACTCTCAACTGTCGCCAACACCTTGGCCCAGAGGGAGTCTTTCCTTCGACATTCGCCCCGGCCAAAGAAGGTCAAAACCCAAGTGGTGTAATCATGTATCTGCTTCTCCTATCGAGACACTGGCAAGGCTTGTATAGGCATGATAAATTGATAATACTGTATGCATATAACAAAGGCAAACGCACAAACTCACGTCCATGCACATGTGCACGGACGGTGTCGCTGGCGTACACACACACACACACACACGCGCGCGCGCGCCCACGCCCACGCATGCACAGGACAAAGGCATGTGCAAAGGAGCATGCTCATAAAAGCACAGGACAGGCACACGACTGATCTACGGATGTATCACGACATTGAAGGGACGGAGCTTGCAGCAAGCCTTCACCCTCTGGAGATTCCTGAAATACATAAATACATGTCAGCAGTAAATAGTTGCAGCATAAACATTTCCACGGGGACTGTGCAGCTTCACTAACCTTAACTTCAATCTCCCCAGAATGCAGCAATCAGACAACGGCTACGAAGAGGTGCAGGAAATTTGAACAACTGTTTCAAAAGCAGTCCTCCAAGCCTTCTGCACCAACAGGTGATTCAGTTCGTGCTCTTATACCATCCTGGCAGGTAGAGACATTTTCTAATAACACGAAGAGCACAATCATCAAGGTGGGCAAATCCTCAAGAGAGAGTGCACCCGAACGTACACTACAAATCATTTACTGGACACTACTGGACAGAGCGTCCAGTCCATTCAGTCCAGGGGAGAAGAGGCAAAGGCATAGGGCTCCTGAGAAGATGAAAGGGCAACACATTATCATTACTACATTAATTTTATTATTGGGGGCAGACGTCTTCTCTGTAAAATATGAGGACGAAAGGCACATCAGTACTCACATCCCTGCTCATATCACTGCTCATCCCTGTCCTCTACGAGGGCAATGCATTTAGGGCTGAAACAAGTATACAGATAACTCGCAAACCGATCGTTTTAAGAGCGCAATCGATAATCGTTAGGGTTCAAAGCGAATGCAAACGATTTTTTATGCATGCATACCAGTGGCAGTATTCTAGCCCTTGCACTCCATCCAATTGTGGATACGAGTGCAATCGTGTACTTTCAAGCGCAGTAATATTGATGCGTGGCTATGAAAGAGATCGGGAGTCAAGACGGTATCTTTTCGATTGATTCGTTGCGGAAGTTGGTGATAAGAGCTTCAAGCCAAAGGGTGACGACAAGCCTGGTTCTTCGTTCTAGAAACAACAACATGAACTCCTCTAGTTCATATTGATAAAGCCTAGTTCAAATTCGACGGGACGCGGCGTAAGGATCGATGGGAAGCGACAGGACGGTCTGACGGCGTCCAATGTGAACACCAGGAACGGGAACGCAACCATACTACCGTACGGATCGGGAAGTGTTGGATCAGTTCAACTTTTCATACCGTAGACGGGCATAGACGGAGACGCAAGCGTACAAAACGGCTGCATTTTGAGTGAGAACAGGAGGCGGCGTCGTGCGCCATCCACTCCTGATTCGTACTGGGAAATTTTTAGGATTTCGAACACTGCGCTTCCCATGATAACTCGCAGAATGGCTAACACGACTTGGGTTGAATTTTAGCAAGATAAGATCTCATGTCACTTATGGTATTTAGGGATAGTTTAGGAGAATGACAGATGAACTGTTTTATCATTTCCTAGGGCTACTATTCGAATGGCACAACTTTCAGGGCTACTTTTTTGTCTCCATGAAAAACTGGTATTGTGAATTTGATTTCGCTTCATTCAAGGAGAAATAATTGAAAAGAAGTCCCGAAAAACAAGAAATTAGGTCCGAAAGTCACCCCGTCACGGACTGTGCCTTATGACTCGCGCCGTTCGCTGGAGAACATCGCAACGACTTCAGCATGTCGTGTCGTACGAATCGTAAAAGGTTTTACAGCTCACCCCAGCCGTCCCGACAGGCCCTTACGTCCTGTACCGTCAGTGTTACGTCGAATGTGAACTAGGCTTTAGACCAGTCAGATGTCTACAGGTGTCGACACAATTGCCTGAAATGTTTACAGAATACCAAACACTGAGCGGTAGCCTGGGTATATTTAGAGTGTTTGACTGGTGGCCACAGCTAATGTAGCAAAGGCATCATGGAATTTCTTCATAGTCTTGTGTTCGAGGTGCACGACTACAGCCGGAAAGAATCTATAATTATGAACCAACAATTATAATTGATCTCAATGTCTCAGTACTCATACTCCTTGTCAGTTTTGTGCTAGATTGTGCACGTCTGACTATTCGAAATCTGGTTTAGTTGGTGGACTCGATTGCATAACTTGTGCCCACATTTCTCTATGTTACAATGATATTCATCGCTAAAGAGATTGGTTGATCGCTTGGAGTTATTGAATGATCGTTTCAGCCCTAATTTATTTTCACCCTGGCCACAGCACTAGGCGAAATTCTCTGACACGGCCTTTACCTGCATCCACTGCTCTTTCGCATCACGACGAAGGACATGCAGGGGTTCTCTCTGAGCAGAGGAAAGTAGCCATCGCCACCACCACCATCACCATTCACCGACAATACTAGAGAGACTATTTTCCCCGTCGTGGGTACTTCCAATAAAGTAATTCCACTTACATAGGTACCGTCAGCGGCGCCACCATGTTCCCAACAGTGTATTCCTATCGTGGGTACTTCCACGGGCAATAAATTCGGCTCGTGCTGTCACTCGCAAGCCATCAAATTCCTATCTCCCTTGCGCGAATTGCCTCTGCAAACAAAATTATTTCAATGATTGGATTAATTCAGTTCTTTTCGCTCGTGCACGTCACGCCGGGTGCACTGCGCGCGGCCCATCTCCGCCCGTACATTGTTTCATCTTGTTTCATCTTGTTTCATCTTGTTTCATTCGCGGCCCATCTACGCCCGTACTTCGAGTTTCATTTGGTTTCATCTTGTTTCATCTTGTTTCATCTTGTTTCATTTTGTTTCATTTCGTTTCATCTCGGCCCCATCTGCGCCCGTACATTGGCGTTTCATCTTGTTTCATCTTGTTTCATCTCGTTTCATCTCGTTTCATCTTGTTTCATCTGTTTCATCTGGGGGGAAGACGGGCCCGTCAACCTTGCAAGTTACTGTGCATTGGATCATTGGATGGTTTGTCAACGCACGTTGTTCACTGCACGCGACTCTAACTCACTCTGACAGAATTCCTGACACGTACATTACAGCAGTGTATGGTGCAGCACATTATGATATCTGGGTGTCATTCTGGACGAAAAGTGCTTCACTCTAATCTGGGCAGGGGGCACAACATCTGTCTGTGCGGTAGTCTTCAAACATTTGGTTGATAGGACTTTGAAGGTTGTGTATCGCCTATTGCTTATCAGTAGAGCAATTGACCAGTAATAGAGAGTCTCTGGGTTCCTTCAATCTCCGGTACGCGTCAAGGTGCACTTTTCAGCTCAAGTCATTGGAGTGTTTCAATTTGACTGAAATGTCAGTGTACAACTTCCCACGGGACTTTCTGAGAATTACCCATACTTCAAGCGGTGTATACTGATTCTCACTAAAATACATGAATATGACAAGTAACAGTATCTGAGAGTGCATCAGAAGCATAGAGAGAAGGCTGGCTATATTCCCCACTGCAAGTATAACATGGAGAGTTTAAAACGAGTGACTAGCAGCTCTCAGGACCCGCGGTGCAGGTCAATACTAGGGAGGTTTAGTTCCCACGTAACGGAAACGCGTACGTGGGTGATCCACGTAAAGTGGATGAAGGGCATCCACGTTGCAATGTTGTGTTTAGTCACACGGAACAAACAAAAGCATGAAGCGAAATGTCCAAACCTGGCCCAAAGACGAAGCTACCCGGGCCTAAGAAGCTCATCGAATATTTTGATTTCGTGCTTCGGAAACTTCTTCAGCTGAGCACCCTCACAGCTCGCAAAATGCGCTCCATTCTGATTTTCACCCACGTTCTGGCGGAACGTGGGTGAGCCTCCATACACGGTATATCGTGATTCAGAAAACGTCTGTACGTGGGTCACTGAGTATCACGTGGTACACACACGTAAAGTACCCACGGATTACGTGGGACTAAACCTCCCTACTAACACTGTCCCGTAGAGCCTGCAAGTCACGTGACCATTTCTCTTAGTGAGGGTTGACAGTGACCACTATTACTGTCAACGTACACGTTCATACCAAGACTCTTGGTATGAACGTGTACGTTGACAGTAATACTAATAGTGGTCACTGTCAACCCTCACTAAGAGAAATGGTCACGTGACTTGCAGGCTCTACGGGACAAGAGTAGATAAACAAGAGTGTGCAACTCCGGATCTCTCCTGCACAATCTGCAGATACCCCGCGCCCACTGCGGAATTTTTTGTTTACGTCACCTTTTTTCAGAGAAACGCGGCTTTGCCGCAGAGCAGTGTGAGAGCACGTGCTGGGCACCGACCTTGTAGTGTAAAGCCCAGCCAAGTGCACGAGGGAAAACTCTCCAAAAGGCTCGCAGCGCGTGCGTCGTCGAAAAGATTACGTCAACAAAAAATTCCGCCGT